CCCCAAAACCCCAAAACCCCAAAACCCCAAAACCCCAATAATATAAGAATCCATGGAATTTTGTAAATATATTTATTAAAATTAATGGCTTCAGAGACATATAGATTTTTATTGGCGATCGATACGACCACTCAGAACTCAGAGACTGGATCAGAACGGATCAGTGTTCCGAAGAAAGTTCAGAGACTTGTGGCGAAGTATAAGGATGTGGTAAAGACGAAGATCTTGATCCTCCATGGCATAGATGAGCAGCCTGGCGACTATTTCAGCTCTAGTTACATTAAGAAAAATGACTCAGAGCTTGACTTTACTAGCAATAGAGACCAATTTTGGTTCAAAATTGGTATCTCAATAGGAAGAAGAGTCAACACAATTGTTTACACTGACCACTCCGACAAGGAACAGATGAAATATAAGGAGGCAATGAAATTCATTGTTTATAAAGACCTTCACGAATTCGATATTGAAACAGATCCTTCCTTTGGAAGTCTAGAAATGAAGAATAATCAAGATGAACTGCAGGATTTCGATGAGACAACATGCCCTAAAGTAAACAATGCGCATTTTAACAAATGCTTTCCAGAAAGAAGCGAATTAGAAGCCCTTCCTAATTATCGTGAGACTCAGCAAGAAATACTGATGAAAATTAATAAGCAATTCCTAAAAGTTGAGTCCATGGAATTGAGTAAATTTATTAACTCTTGCAGTAACTTAATCAATCAGCACCTGAATAGTTCGAGAGTGAAAATGGAAGAAATTACTATCTTCAAAAACTCTATGCTTGTGTCTGTTCTAGAGCAGCTAATCTTTGACGGGATCATACAATCAGATGGCCTCAATGCCTTGCTGAAAAACTTTATCTATACAACTCGTAACTTAGTAAACTCCTCTATTGTAAGGATCAACACCGATGCTTTGTCGAGCAAATATGGATGCTTGGCTACAGATATTCAAAAATCTTTGGAGCCAATGCATTCATATTTGGTCGACAAATCTCTGAACATAACCTCATCCTCAAGTGCTACAGATTCCTCTCTAGAAGAGTCAAAAATCTCAGATTCAGGTGAACAGATCCCCTCAACCCTAACTTTTAACCTAGAAAAATACGGATTCTCCCCAGAAGAAACAGAGGAAATGTCAAACTTCATTCTCTGAGCCTTCTACAGAAAGTACGAACAGATGAACTATGCAAACATCAAGCGCACGACCAAGCTGATCAACGCGCTGAACAATTTTATGGAGCAGACATTCCAGAGTAAGAAGTTTAAATCGATGTTCTGTGAAATTGAAGAACAAGAGGTCAAAGAGCTGGTAAGAAGAGTTTAATAGATATATAGTTTGTGAGAAAACTAGTAGGAGAATTAGTCAATAGAGGAGTCATTACTATTACTGATAGTAAAGTTGAGCATGATGAAATCAAGTACAGAGAGAACAGAGAGCTTTATGAGAGCATGTTTTAAAGAATAAGATAAAACATGCTTGAATTTTTGAGAAATAAGGAACATTTTATGAGTCCGGTGACTCGAAGTTATCTTAGCTAAAGGCAAGGTTTCTTACAGCTACAGTTTCAATCCTGAATAGGCAGCCTATTCAGGATTTAAAGTGCTAAAGATAATCCAGGATCATCATTTATCATATAGGGAGCTCAAAAAATTTATTCATAGCCAAAATAACTTCAATCATTACAGATCTCATAATGTGTTCCTTAGTTCTCAAAAATTTGAGCATTAATAACTTATTCAATAATCAATCAAAGCATTCATCCAATTTCCATATTTGTTATCAATTTTTTATTTGTAAAAAGGGGTTTTGGGGTTTTGGGGTTTTGGGG